AGTGCACATAAATGCTGGGCTCCATTTAGTAAAGACAATTTCCTACAGTATATTCAGGACATTTCTTTTTGCCTTCTGGTATAAGAAGACAATCCAGTTATTCAGTTTAAAGAGGTAATGTGATTGTCATGCGTCGTAGCCCCACTTATAACTTTAGTGCAGTCTTCAGTAGGGAACATGGAATGGTTGTTTTTTATCTCTCTTTTTTAAGCTGTGATCATCCTATAATGAGCTGTATCGCCTGGTTCCTGCTCTCTGGGAATGCTTCCCCCCCTCATCCTGACCTCTCTGCCCAGAAATGCTGCCCCACAACAGGGACAGCACCAGCTCATTGAATGCCACCAACAGCACACACAGAAACCCCCACAGTGACCAAGAGCGCTCCAGGAAAATGTCATTGTCTGGGATTCCAATTTCCCCCTCAGCACATAGGAGCCAGAGCAATCTCCGGGTTAGTTTGACATCAGATCTCCAGCGAGAGCTGAAGCAAATAGTAACAGAAAAGTACATTGAAGTCTCAGATCCCTAAAGGTATGCTCCTAAATTTCTGTTCTTACTTTCAAACAAGTATCTTTTCCAGGGTACTTAACTCCTCTGAAATTGGGCTGCTGTCTATATTAACTGAATAAATACAGATCTAGGAGCCTGATTTTAGTCACCAAGGTATGAAAATGTCACCCTCAGGCACTGGAAACAGAAGAATGAGTAATGGAAGACAATGAACGGATGCTGTTAGCAGTGGCAGAAGGTGTTCAAAGCCATGTAGATTCAGGAATTGGAAGCCAGAGGCAAACCAAAGTGAATCAGTCTGCTCCAGAGGAAGTGCTGACACAGCCCAACAGCCTGTCCTGGAGTTCCTAAACCAAGTTCTAGTTCACACATTCCTGTGATCTATTTTGTGTCCAGCAAATGAAGCACCACTGACAAACAAGAGCACTTGTGCTTCTGAAGAATATCACTGTGAAAAGTGGATTCCAGTCTGTAAAGGGCTCCACCATGCTACACATTCACAAGAAGGAACTTTTTCATCCCTATTTAAGAATAGATAAAACCAGTGGAAGTGTAATCCCAGTATCAACAGCTAGACTCACACTTTGCTTGCAGGAGCACCATGACAATGCAGCTACTCCAGTTCTCTCCTGGGTTTCAGCCCAGTGCCTTATTAGACAAAACCTTTTCTTCCTTGTCATCAAGGATACACAGCAGTCCTTATGAACAAAAATGATTGGTTTAATATCTTCTCAGTAGCCTTAGCTACACAGCTGGGTTTTCTTCCTAGATTTGCCTAAACCTTGTCCAACCATGAAAACTATTCTTTCCCATATGACCCAGGAGAATTGCACAAACAGCACATGTAGCAAACACACAGGAACAGCCAAACCATCCTTATATGGTTTCATTTGTGAGTTCTTGACTTTCCCCTCAACTTCTTCCCCTTAAGGCCAGGAACAGTAATACCTTCCCCCCCCCTCCAAGTGGAGTAAATCAGTTCCTACATTTTCAGCAGTAGAGTGAAAATTTAGATGTAAAAGAGTAAAGACCATGAAAGAGGCCTATTATTCAACAACACCACAATCTGCAGCTGCTAAGACAGGCATAACAATTATTTACAATACCCACAGTGTGAAATGTAAAGTATTTCAGCCTGGGACAGCACACAGATAAAACTAGGCAGGTAATCCTGTCAGAACTGCAGAACAGGGGCAAGGCCAGACCATCCCTACACTGATTACCCTTTTCACTGCACTATGAATTGAAACAGGTCTTTACCAAGCTGTTAAATGATAGCAAATCACTTTGATTTAAATACAGTGTCTGTATTTAATGTTTATCTAAAGGGCTATTTCTGCCAAAAAGCCCTTACCGTGCACTGAGCAACACTACAGCACCAGCCGGGATTAGATACATACTACCAACTCACCTATAGTAACCACAAAATGCAGCTTAAAATAACTCCCACTGACTCCTTGGAGTGGGAGACACATTCAAAATTAGCAAGTGCTCCTAAAGAAAAGAACTATGCATAAAATTACTTCTTTTTAGCTGGGAAGAGAACTATTAATACTGGAATTAACTTTTATACTTGCCATGATGTCTTTCAGCTCCCATCTCTGACTAAACAGTAAAACTCGTGACCTAGTGTTGCACAATGTCAACTTTTATAGCGCCTCTTCCTGCTTAAAAGAAAAATCAAGTATATTTCTAATAATATTAAAACTAGAAGTTAATCCTGATGTAGAATTACCCATTAGTCAACATCAACTAGAAGTATAAAGAGTAAACAGATCTTGGATGCAGAAATTAGCATGGGATTATTGGAACTGGGCAGTCACCTGGATGACAAGCCTGAGGAGCAGGTTTCAGACATGCACCTGCAGGGTCTGGAGTAAATGCACTTCTGGTGCATGCTGCATTAAGCCCTTACAGTTAAGCTGGAAGTCAGGGGCATGAAATTATGTCCCCAGCCTCAAGCACCCATCACAGTCCAAACAGCTGCAGTTTGCATGAATGACAAGGAGGTTTCAGTGACATAGTGGCATCAGCTCCATACAATGGCCAATGTTTCATGACACAGTCATGGTTCCAACCATATCTCTTGCAGCTGCCATCCCTCTGACACCAAGGTCAAGATCTGCAAATACAATGACTACGAAATTTTGTCTGACAAACCACTTACAAGCAAAGGAGTGATACTGAATTTTAAGATCAAAGTATACAAGTCAGTGATTCACCTTCCTCTCCTGCTCGCTTGCAAGACGCAGACTAAACACAAACATGATATTAGGTGCTTTGAAAAGCTCCACTTGCATTTGAGAATTTGCATCAAGTGCTACAATCCTGGCTGACAGGATGTGACTCTCAGCTAAGCACCCTCTTCTGCTAGCTCAAGAGCTCTGTCTACCAGACCATGACACCTGAATCACTCCCAGGGCACTAACTCCTACTGCTGCCACCACTCACCCTGGCAAGCTGGAGCATCAGCGGGACACCAAGCAAAACAGAGCACACATTTCCCAGGGCTCCCCTGCCACTGAAACCTGAACACTGACAGGATTGAGACACAACAAACCCCCACAAGCCAGTCTAGTAGACAACTGTCTGTCCTCGGGGTCATATAAAATACCACATGCTGGAGGGAAGAAGAAAGAGCGAGGAGCTGGCAGCACCCGCAGCAGTGATTGTGCTGATGCCAAATCTGGTCCTATCTGCGCATTCCAGGCACTGCTGAGCAGGCAGCACGTGCTGCGGTGCCGGCGTTGGCAACAGTGACGCTCAGCACAGCTCATGGCCACCAGCCACCTTAAAGCAACAGCACCACACCACTAACCTTCAGTGGCACCAACATAAACCAACATGGACACAGAGCTCTAACACACAGCACCCTGCTGGCATTGCCACCAGTGAGCAGGAGGTACTGGGAATGCTGCAAGCTCTGGGGAACCAGCATGACCATGAGGATACACAGCTCCCTGCCAACGCTGACTGTACTCCAGTTTTAGCAACCCTACAGCTTTCCAGATTGATGGGGAAGGATTTCAAAACTCAAAGAGCATAACAGATTTACATCCGAGTTTACAGGAATAGCTCAATAACACACATGCAGAAAAATAAGGAACAAAACTATCAGATCCCCAAAATATGGATTGACAGCAGCAGAAATTTGCTATGTACTATTTTAAGTATGCTTGGATCCTCAGCTCTGGTGTTATTAAACTAAAACTTGTATCAATTCATTGTGTTGTATCTGTATGAGAGCTTATACCAGTTACGACCACCTCAAAAAACAATCAGTATTTCATGTTATTTATACAATAAATCAAACGTGCACATTTCCCAAAGGACAAAGGAGAAATTGTAACTCTTTCATCAAGAGAGTGAACCTGGTGCTGTTCCTCTCCTGTGACATGTGGCCTAAACTTAACAAGGATTTTAGGGCGTCCTGTAGCACGCAGAGCTCCTTATGGCAACAACAGGAAAGTATTTCAAACCTAGCAGAAAAGAACTGATATTTATGTCTGCCAACCAGTCACACCTTACCCACCCTTCACACCTCTTCCTGCTCCTACTATTACCAAGATCTTGGTACACAGAAATGCCCTCTGCCCCTATAGCTGGTGCCAGGAAGAGCCAAGGGGCAGGGGGCAACCCACAGACTGCAACCAGGAACATTTTCAAGGGCAGTTTGCTTTTGACTTTTGGGGGATTAAAGTCAGCCTTCCAAGAACAAGCATGAAGATATCCCAAGGAGAGCTATGCTACTAATGAGGATTTTCTTGCTGCTTGTCAGTGGCTTCAGCCACTTCTGCTGCCACTGGATGAGTAGTAAAGTGAGTGAGTAGCAAAGGCCTTTCTACCGCACGGCTCTCTGCAGGTGTGATTAAATCTGCCTCTTACTTCCCCAAGTCCCCAAGTGGACGATCATGCCTCAGTTACAGAGATAATTTCTCAGAATGAAAGAGCCAATAAGCACCGATTCCTCTGGGCATCTCAACAGCATTAACACAAAATGCAGTAAAAGGCATCAGAGTAGCAGAAAGCAATTCAGCCCTCGTGGAGGCAACCTGATCACTGTGCACTCCAAATGCTGCCGCCACACAGGCTTCAGGCACAACACGGTACAAGCAAACGTGACCCTGAACCATCACCTCTGGACAATGGCCTTGGCTGCACCTGAGCAGGATGAGTGCATCTCTCCCTTCTCTCTTTTTTCTCATTACCACACACAGAAGCAGAGCCTGGTACAACTGCCAGGCCAGGAGGGTGCATGCAGGGACACAGTGAAACACATGAGTCCCACAGGGGTTCTAGGTACAGACCCGAGCACAGAGCGTGTGGGTCAGGATGAGGGGCACCACTGGGACTTCATGCAAAACGGAGGAGAGGGAAGTTCACAGAACTCAGCTCAGGTCTGAGGGGTGGCCTTTGCCTCCCAAGGGGAGTTACCCCACAAAGTCCCACAGGAAGGCTCCAAAATGCACTCAATTAGCTGTTCCTTTTACCTTTTTGCTCTACCCAGCATTTCTTCAAGAGCACTGTCATCTCTGGCTTTGGCATCCTACTCATCATCTATGAATTCATGTTGCCGTTTCCTCCCTGAAAGGAAAAAGTCCCATAGTCAGTCATTTGCTGCACTGAGGAAAGGACAAATTTGACAGAGTATTTCTGCCACTGTTCAAGTTTAAAGACAATTGCTCCTTGAGCAGCACTGCGAGTTGCATGCTCTTCTACAGTGTCATTCATCAGAAACCAATCAGCCTGTGTTGACTCCAGAAACTTACCCCAGATTTACCTGTAAGCAGCTGAAAAGCTCAGACCTGCCTGGAGAGAAAGAGCAAGGCAGTGACTCTTCCAGAGTGAAAACATTCCCAGCAACAACAAGAGACACCTGTGCCAAGCCAACATCTTTATTTGATTTTAAAACATTCAGGAAGTGTCAATCCGTATGGGAAAGAAGGAGTACAACACAGAGAGCATGCCCAATGTTAGGGAATCCTTCATTCCACATATCACACAAACCAAATTAAAAATAAAACTAAACACAAGTGTACAAAGCAGAGACAAAAAAAAATCAATTTTCTCAGAGATAACATGAGGGACTCCCACAGGAGCTGGCAAATTCTGGAAGAGAGAAAGAGATTATATTTTATGGGAAGAGATTCAATAACCATTCTTCTCCCATAAAGCTACTGATGGAGGATTGTCACTGCTCCATAGACACACTGTGCACATTTCAGGACAACAGTAACAGAAAATCAATAGCATCTTTTATACGTGAAAAGACATTATCTCTATGGACTCCTAGCACTAACAAATGGGACCAAGACGACCTCTGCTAAAATTCAGCAGTCGGCATCAATCTGGCTATGAAGAGGGGCAGTGAATGCAACCAAAGGGCGCCCAGATTACACTGACCCCCCCAGCACACTCTCCTCTGGTCATTAGGAGGCAGGAGCTCCCTCAGGTGCTAATGTGACAGCTTGGATAAGGTCGGCTCAATTTATGGCACTCTTCAGTTTTTCCCTCCACTGAGCTAAGATAGAACTAAAGTTAATATAAGCAAGAAAACACTTTGTGTGGGGGCAATAATCCAGCCATGACTATGTGATTCCAGCTCCTAAGGAAATCTGCTGAATGAGGCCACTCGCACAACACAAGGGAAAACCATTCGCCATCCTGCTCAGAGAAACGATTCAGGAGATGGAAGGACTCACTGGTAGTTCTGGCTGTAAAGAAGCAAAACTGAGCCTGGGCACCTCTGCCCCTTGCCACTACCCTGGAGAAACAAACACTGATGTTTTCTGCAGCTTTAAACAACTTTTAGCTCCCAACCTGGTTTTCCAGACAGGAACAGTGACAGCTCCTGCCCCTTTCTCACCCCACAGCACTGCTCACTTCCCTGAGCTCAGAAACACTGGAACTCTGCATGCATCCTCTTCCAATGCATCCAGATGCTTTCCAATGAACCCAGGGTCTTACTCCCTCATCACAAGATTCTCAGCACAGCACCACAGCACTTTATTGTGCCACATGTAGAACCTGCGCGTAGCAATGCGGGCAAAAGGAATGCTCACCCTGAAGCAAACCAGGTAAAGCAGTCAAGCACAAACAAGTATTTCCCTTTTTTTCCTTTCTTTTTTTTCCCCCACATTGCTCTTTGCCATGGATATTACATTTCCACTGGTAAATGTAAAGCTCTTTCTACATGCTTAGAAAGCACAGTTCATATTTAGCTCCCCAGAGTCGTATTTCCGTCCTGTAGCTCCCTACCAAGATCTGTGGACCATTCCCAAAAGTTTTCCCTGGATCCCTGGTGGCACACATGGAACAGTGGGCAGAGCTGGCAACAAGTGCTGCAGCAGGGGAGGGATCTGGTAACACTGCCACAGCGCCAAGGGCCACACAGCTCCTGAATCCCACCAGACAAACCCATCTTTAGGTGGTTTCCCAGCTCCTGTGTTCTCAGCCCTTCACCTCACTGCGAGCAGAGAGGAACTTCCATAACACGATCAATACTTCCATGTTAACTACACTTGGATTGGAAAACAACTTACTAAATATTAAAACGCTCCTGTTTTCAAACAAAAGTTACATGAAGATCAAATCCAAAATGGATCCGCTGAGTGTTGGGATGGGAAAATACCGCTTCAGCTTCACTCTATAGAGTGCACTGGTGTTAGTGAGAGATCCTCAATCGCTGCTCTTCAAGGACAGCAGTACTCCAACATCACTAGCATCTCCTACACAAACATCACATCTAGACACCAGGGAACATCCTCCCTCCAGCTTTATTTTAAAGCCAGGAAAGGCTATAACTCCTTATGGCAGCAATAAAGCCAGTTAACACTGAGACCTGCCAGCGTGCTCTGTAAGGCTGCACGGGCTGGAGCACAGATCGGGAACCCCTTCTACGAGTAACTGTCCGCTCGCCACGCTTTGGGGCATTTCCCGCTATTTCTCTACTGGGCACAACTCGCCGAGTGCCCTCTCGTGGTGAGCCCACCGCCAAGACCGCGCTCTTGGAGCACAAACCCTGCGGCCACGTTCTCTGTAGTGAAAAGCCAAAGCAGCTCCGTTTCTCCTGGTGCCAAACGAGCCCTGACCCTGAGGCGGGGTCCTTGCTTCAAGCCAGCGGGCTCCAGACGGCTGAGCTAGCCCGTGCAACCCCGATTTGACCGGACAACGCTGCATGGGTCTGCGAGTCACCCTGTGAGAGCAGGGAGCTGCTCATGGGACCGAGACACAGCAAGGCTCAGGAATCATTCGGGTTGTGCCGGGCAGCGCCTGCAGCACCTCAGCAACGTGGGAAAGGGCCGCTCACCCAGGCAGGCCACCCACTCCCCCCCAAACCCGGGACAGAGGTGCTATGGGGCGTGAGAAACACCCCAGTGCGCGGCAAACAGCCCCGCTCCCAACGGGGGCCCGGACCCACCGGTCCCGCAGCCCCGGCGGCCGGAGCAGACCGTGCGGATCCCGGCCGAGCCGGCCCACGCCGAGCACTCACCGCGCGTCCCGCGCCCGCCGCCGCCTCGCCTCACGGCGCTCTGGGCGGGAGCAGCCCGCGCATGCGCAAATAACACAGCGCATCCGAGCGCATGTGCAGGCTCTCTCAATCCTCCGCGCCACTGGGGGGCGCAGTAGCGCCCCTTTCCCGCCTCTGAGCACGCCCAGCCGCGCTAGCGGCGTGAGGTGAGAGGTCGGGAAGATGGCGGCGGCCTTGGCGGAGGAGGTGCCGGACAACGAGGACTACTACGCGCTGCTCAACGTGCGGCGGGAGGTGCGGCGGGGCCTGGCGGGGGGGCTCCACCGCGAGCCGGGCCGGGGTGGGCTGGGGCAGCGCGGGCCGTGACCCCTGTGCCCGCGGGGCAGGCCGGGCCGCGTCCTCAGCGAGTCCCTCTGGCGGGCGGCAGCGGGCGTGAGGCGGCCCCGGTTTGGTGCTCGCCGCGCTCCCGGTGGCTCGGAGGGAGCCTGGTCCGTGCAGGACGCTGTTGTCTCGTGGTCTTCGCGGTTTGCTCTGTGCTGTTTGCGCCTTCCCAATGCCCCGTAGTGGAAACAGGCGCAGAGCAGTGGGAGGATGCGGGGTCCTCGGTGTGGCTGAGATTAAATGAGATGTGAACTGGTGCAGCTGCGTTGTACTGGAGGTGTTTGGCTGTTAGGAGTAATTACTGTTTTAATAGCAGTACTAAAAATGTCAGCCAGATGTATAAAATGTGTACTGTATGTATATCAATATATTGATATGTATCAATGTATCAGTAGTTCATTCTGTTGAATGCAAGAGCACTCTATATACGTGTCTATATCTCTCTATATATGTACTGTGTGCATGTGTGTATAAACAGACTTCGCTTTTCCAGCATGTCAGACTAGATGTTAACAAGGGGAATGGCTTGAACCTGCCAGAGGGAAGACTGAGCTGAGCTCTTAGGCAGAAGCTCTTCCCTGTGAGGGTGCTGAGGCGCTGGCACAGGGTGCCCAGAGAAGCTGTGGCTGCCCCATCCCTGGCAGTGCTCAAGGCCAGGTTGGACACAGGGCTTGGAGCAAGCTGCTCCAGTGGAAGGGGTCCGTGCCCGTGGCAGGGGTTGGAGCTGCATGAGCTTTAAGGTCTCCAACCCAAACCAGTCTGTGGTTCTGTCAGTTTGAGCTGCAGAAGGGGTTTACAGAAGCGCTGTTACTGTGTGTAATAGGAGTTGTGGAAATCCCCATTTCCAAGGGGAAAGTGTCCGACAGTGGCTCTGTTTGCAGAACTCCCTGATGCTGGGCAGAGCACTGGGCTCTCTTTAGGAAACTCTGTGTTTCACTCACTGAAATCCAGCGGCTGGGTGACAGCATCTGTAACTCACCCTCCTGCAGTGTGCAGCCATGGAGGTTAAAACAGAGGCAGGAACCCCACGAGGGCTGGGACTGCCTGGGAGGTTAACAGCAGAGGCTGAATAGTTAACTTATCAAAGCTGGCAGTTCTTTGGCAGACCAGAAAAGGCAGCTTTGGTCAGCAGGGACTTGGAAACCAAGTTAAAATGGTCTTCAAGTGAGCGATTCCAACTGAGAGTAGTAGTAGCTGCTCTGTTAATTACCCCTTGCTAATTAAATTCAGTAGTACTACTGCGTGCAGCAGTGGAATGCAGCGCGCTCACATTTCCGTGTGCTGAGCCAGCCTGGTGTGATGCAGCAGCTTAAAATACCAGTGAGCCCTGAGCCTTCCCATGCCGCTGCTCTGCGTGCATGGCATGGTTCATCTTCCATAGATTCCAATGCACTAAAGCCATGCTGGTGTGTTTGAGGTGTTAAATGAAGCCATTTGGGCCCCAGGTAGGCAGATGGGACACCTTTGAATTGTGCCTGTGGATTTTGGTAATGAAAATGTAACTTATATGTGACTATTCCTGACTTGCACATTTCACTGCAGCTTGAGAGGATGTCAGGATTCCTTCAGCGGTTCCTAAGAGGCTATTGCTCATGAAATATTGAACCAGTGACCCAAGCTATTCGATGATGATGAAATGCCCAAGCTAGTGTTTTATTGAACGTGACATCTATGAAAAATGAAACTGCTTGTTTCTATTAGATAATCAATAGCACATTAAACCATTTATCATTAATTTGATTAAAGAAGGCTGTCTGAGGCCCATACATCCCCCCGCTTTCCCAGCCGAGTTTAAATTCTATGTCTGAGAAAGCACAAGGTAATAAGAAGAAAAAAGCCGATCTGTAGCTATCCTTGCTGTCCTGGGCCCATCAAATTTGGCAGGTATTTTGCTGTATCATTTAGAAATATTAACTTGAAATAGCACAAGTGTGCAAAGAAAACATTTATTCTAAGCTGTCCTCAAAATCAAATGGATTTCTGTCTTTGGTGCACAAATGAATGGATTTATTTGATGAAAACCCATGTTCTGCTTACCGTGGATTGGGAAAAAAGGTCTTACTTTAAGAAACGAGCTTTTGGGGCTTTAATTTCCACAGTGAAAGTCTGGGAACTGTAACAGCCTCAATTGCTGAAGAGCATTAAGAGTAAATGGAGTATGTGTCTTTAAAGTCTGCTTTCAAAACGTGTTTTCTGGGTGCCCCCTCCTCGCTGGTGTATTCCTGCCCCTCTAAGCCCTGCTGTAGCAGAGGGGTAGTGTTTCCTTGCAGGAGGCAGGCAGGTCCCTGTTGTGTTTCAGTTACTGTGCTCTGTGCATGCCTCCTGGCACAGCAAAGTAGATTCTTGTTCCCCGTGCCCAGGGAAGGTTATTGCATTGATTCTGAAAGAGCCATCACAAATGCATTTCCATCACGTGTCCTTGGAAGGAGGCTGGATGATTTTATTTGCTCTTGTTCTGCATTGAACTGAGGAGACAGTAGTTGCCTAATGAAAATGAGGTATGTTTGTTGGGGCTCTTTACTCAACTTTTCATACCTAGATAAGCGCTGCTGAGCTATTGCTGTCATTTGTTGCACTGTAAGTAGTGTGGACGATACTGGTGAACATAAGTGAACGTTTTCCTGCCTCATGTAATGACACAGAAGTCCGTTCCTCATTTTGTGTCAGTAAAAGCAGTGTAATGGGCTGCTGATCTTCTCTTGTAGGGCTGATCTTGAGCATGGTCTTTTTCAGGTACCTTTGGTTGTGCTTTAATTGAGTTTCACTGCTCTCCTCAGGCCTCCCAGGAGGAGCTGAAGGCCGCCTACCGCCGGCTATGCATGCTCTACCACCCCGACAAGCACAGGGACCCGGAGCTCAAGACGCAAGCAGAGCGGCTCTTCAACCTCGTGCACCAGGCCTATGAAGGTCAGTGGAAGTCTGGGGCTGGCAGAAACTGTGTTCAGGGGTTTAGCAGGAGGGCTGTGTCTCCATGCTTCTTGAGGAAGATCTATCATGTTCCAAAGTCGTAATTAAATTTGCTGACACTTAGCGATGCTTTGTTTCCTCCCCTGCCCTGTAAATCAGAGGAACAATGCATGACAAAGGCAATGGCTTTCTGAGAGATTCAAATTCCACATGCATTTGTGCAGTTCCCCTGTAGCTGGTGTTTGGCAAGGCATGACCTGCTTCATGGCATTGCCTTTGTTACTGTTTGGCATGTCCCACATGTTTGGACTGGGTGGGAAAGGGTCAGTGGACAGGGATGACGATGGAAATCACAGCCCAGGGACTGGCAGAGGTGGGTGTCAATCCTCCACAGGGTTTGCAGGGACTGCTATCATGGAATTGCTAATAGTGCTATTGATTTTAGAGGGCTTGTGTCCCACTTCCGTCAGAGGAAGCAACATTAAAACCCCCTCAGTCTGCATGTCTCCTGTGTTGTCTTCACTTTCTGATTTTAGAAGTAAGAGAAAACCCCCGAAACCAGGAATTTGCTGGGGGAAAAGTCAGTGTGTCCTGTTAATACACGTGGAACTTAATGTAAAACTTGGATGAGCAACATGTTTCCAGGATCTCTGCTTGGACTGCAAATAACGCTAGAGTGTTGGTCTGAGAAGACCAAGCACTGAGTTCTCTCCTCTCTTTTGATTTTAACTTGCAGTGCTTAGTGATCCACAGACCAGAGCCATCTATGACATATATGGGAGGAGAGGACTGGAAATGGAAGGATGGGAGGTGAGAGAATGTAGCACCTTATGGGCAGTGGAATCGACTAAACTCACCTTTACTGACATTCTATTCTATCGAGCTGCACCGACACCTCGATGGTAACAAATGCCTGTTTGTTTGCAGCATCCTTGTTCAGTTATTTCTGTCTCTGCTGCAACACCGTGATGGATTTTCAAAGAATACTTCAGGGTTTCACTTGACAAGAGAACAATAAGCCTGACATTGAGAGTTCCCTAATAGGATATTACCGTGACAGGCAACATCTTTGTCTGAGATAGATGTGTTGTTATTGTCCATCGAGTCTCATCTTTTTCTCTGAAATCCTTTTTTTCCCAGCCTTAGCTGCCTCTGAGTTTGAAATTACTTTTTCTTTCTGGGCTTTTGGGGGTTGGGTTTTTTGTTATTATTATTTGGTTTTTATGGGCTTTGAAAGAGAGCTTCTCCGCTTGTGGCTTTCCTGTTAAGTCCCCTTGTTACCCTCTGCCAGTCGTAGTTGATTGCACAAGGCTGCTTGCTGCAGAATCATGTTGTATTGGGTCAGGTCAGTACCGAGGTCAAGGTCGGAGTCAGTAGCAAGAAATGTGGAGCAGTGGCAGCGTGTAACAGTTTTGAGCTGCTTGTGGCAGGCTCAATCTTGTTCTGAAAAGCCCAGTCCAGTATTCTTTCTATCCATACCTAGAGCCTTACCTGTTTGAAATCCCTTGTTCCCTGAGCCATGTAAGGTAAACAGTGTAGCCTAAAATCCCAAATCTCTCCATCAGTTACCTTAGGCCAGAAACTTGCAGTCATTCTCATTTTTGTGTCTCCACCTAGCAGAGAAGTTAACAGAGCTGTTGGCAGTGGCTGTGCTGCAGTATCTTGTACCTGTGGTTTGAAAGCTTTTTGGCTTGGTTTTGTCAAGGGAATAGAAATAACAAGATCACTTTCCCTCTCTCAAAGCATGGGGGTTTCTCTCATCCGTGCCGTTTGATCTGGCCCAGGTTTTTGCTTCCAAACTCTGAGCATGGAGGTCGGTGCAGAGTGGCTTACAGTACAAGCAGGGCAACATGCTAGAGCACAGC